CATCAGAAATATTCTAACCTACCAGAAGTAAGCAGACTTTCTGTACGCTGGACAAACTTTTTTAGGGAGAAGAAGAGGCAGGATGGTACTTCCATAGCAAATCCTGCTGTGGGTGCATTTCTTTGTAATGTTTAGGTCAAGACCGAGAGATTGATCATACTTTACTTTTCTAAGAAAACCTGCATAGAAGAAGCACTTTTTTTCTGCTTTATTCATTAGCTTTTAGGTTTTCTTCCTTTTGGTAAGGGCCTATGTTAAGGAAGGTGGAGCACCATAGCCTTCCGTAGGCATCATTGTCCATCTGACTCGGTCAGCAAATATTTATTGAGTACCTACTATGTGCATGGTACTGTTTTCTCCACAGTGGGAATATATTAGTGAAAAAACAAGTTTTGCCCTTAAGAAGCTCATATTCTAAATTTTTTTTTTCCGTTTTTTTCCCAGTACTGGGGATCAAACTCACGACCGCCTGCTTGCAAGGCAGGTGCTTATGCCGCTGAGCTAAATCCCCAGCCCCCTAAATTTCTAATTGTCAAGTCAGATCAAAAACTGACAAGGATGGAAAACAATATCCCACACAGTGAGAACCTGAAAAAAATTCAAAAGTAGCTGTCCTATTTTCAGAGCTGGACTTCAAGCCAGAACTGTCCGGAAGAGGCCAGGGTCACTGCCTTCTGGTTGAGGGAACAGGTTAAGAAGAAAAGATTACAGTTACAAACATATGGGGGACCTCAGTTCATTACCTTAATTCATCCAACAGTTCTGGAAAGGGTGGCCACATTTGTGTCTTTGGGGAGTGATGGCTGTGGTTCTGTACGTCACTCAATACAAACAAATACAAACAAAAACAAAATTTTGCCGGACACTTCAGTTTGCAAATAAAAGTGTTTGTGAACTGTGTTACCACTGTGTGCCCCAACCCTGGCCCTACTGACTTCATAACACAAACAGCACTGGGCAAAAATATCGGGTAAACAAAAACAGTGACGGTGTGGAACGCAGTAGCCTGCTCTCGCAGATAGACAGGTCAACTAGACACAAAAGCAGGAGAGAAATATCAGACTTGAGCCAAACCTTCGTACAAATGGACCTCATGGATATCTGCAGTGTTCCACCCAGCAGCAGCAGAAGCCCTGCTCTCCGAGCAGACGTGAGACTTCTCCGAAGGAGACCCCTGCGGCCATATAACATGCGTTAGTATGCAGAGGCAGTGAAACTGCCCCAGACAGAATAAAGCAGATCTTTGTGCAGTAAGACTGGAAATTAATGACCAAACAAACCACAGAAACTATGCAGACCCTTGAAAATTAAATCAGGCCCTCTGAAAGGAACAGACATGGCTCAGATTCTGCAAAGTTAGTATTGTACAGATATTGTTTTTGTATACATTGTATTTAAAACTCAGTCAAAAAGAGCCTGGAAAGTTAAAAACCTACATCTGAATAAAAAGAAAAAATCACAATGGGAATTAGAAAATATTTAGAAATGTTCATTTTTTTAAAATTATGTATCAGGAAAAAAATTATGTATCAGAAAACTTCATATTATATATCAGACAAACTATAGAGGACTGAACATAAAAGATACAAATAAACATATTTGGAATAAACAAAATAGCATATTATGGAAATTTTCATGTCAGATATATTTGAAAACCTAAAATGTAAAATTTTCCCAGAAGGACCAGGGATGTCTAAGATAATTTAGAAGTAAAAGGAAGAGGGAGAAAATATTTTAATATTACTATGAAATTATAGTAACTAAAACGGCATGGTAAAAGCACAAAACAAGGGCAATCAATCAGTTAAGCAGAATCCAGACTATAAAAGGAGATGCAGATACATGCAAAAAGTTCCTATGTGACCAAAGTGACAAATTAACAGGACAAGGGGCTGCTCATTAAATGGTACTGGGGGAATTGGCTGTCTTTACGAATAAAAGATGAAAATAATCCCTATCCCAAAAAATAAATTCTAAGTCAATTAAAAAACCAAACATGGAAATAAAATCCACAAATTTTCAGGAGAAAATACAGGAAGATAGCTTCATGGCTTGATGTAGGAATTTCTAAACAAGTAAGAAAAAGCAACCATCATAAAGGAAAGGATTAATATTCCTTCTCAGTATATTGACCTACAGAGGATTGACATCCTGCAAATCGATTACAAGGAAAGTAGAAAAACAGAAGAAAACAGTAGAAAACAGAAGAGACAATGGAGGATGGTCTGAGTGAACTGTTTAATTCATCTCTCAGAACAGTGCAACACGAACACTGCATTCAGCTGGGCACAGTAGCACAGACCTGTATTCCCAGCTACTGGGGAGGATGAGGCAGAAGAATCACAAGGTGAAGAGCCTGTCCCAAAAAGAAGAAGGGCTAGGGATGTGATTCAGCACTTGCCTAGCTTGAAAGAGGACCTGGCTTCAGCCCCAGTACTGTTAGACATAATCTCATTCTCTTTCTCTCTCTGACGTATCTTTTCATACTTATCTGATATTATTAAGAGTTAGTAAGGTATGGAGAAACAAGAGTGACATTTCACAGTTATTTTGGTGTGGATAGTTTGGTAAAATCTATGATGATTGAAAGTAACCCAAAACCATGAATATATATATGTAGGTACATATGTACATACATATATACTGTATATAGTATGTATATATTACATATATAGCATATAATCTGCATATATACTGTATATATACAACACACACACACACACACACACACGCCCCAATAGCCACAGTTTAGAGGAAAGATTTGCTGTTTGGGCTCACAGTTTGTAAAAGTTTCAGCCCCCGGTTAGCTGGCTCTCAGCAGAGAGGCCATGGAGAGGCAGGCTGCTCCGGGCACGGTGGCAGGAAGCAGAGAGACATCAAGGGAAGAAGAGGAGAGATTGCACCTCTGGGCCACGCCTGTGATACACCTGGGAGCAGGCTTCACCTCCCAACATGACATGAACCCATCAGTAGACTAATCCGTGTCCAGTCACTTCCCAAAAGTCCCCCTGCGAGCACACGAGGCTTTGGAGGACATCTGGATATAAACCAGAAAACAGTGATAGCAACCTAAATGTCCTTTAGTGTGAGACTATGTATTATGGGGTATCCATACATCTAAATACCTTATATACTTCAAACAATAACCAGATTTCTCTTTTTATTGAATGTTCATTCGTCCTGACTTAATGTTTGTGGGAGATGTTAATTTTTTCTCTGGGTCACTGCTCCTGTACACACAGCGGGATTGTTCTCTGTACTCTGCTCAGCCCCTGCCTTGTCAGGGAAGGCCACATGACTTGTCTTGACCAATGAAATGTGAGAAAGAAACTTGTGTTAGTTTGAAGAATTATTTCAAGAGGCAGTGTCAGGCTCATTTTCTCCCCACTGCTTCCGTGACTGAGGAAACACAAGGAAGCTTCCATCCCTGGAATCCCTGAGCGATCCAGTGAGCAGAGCCACCTGGCTGACGGAGTACAAAGTGTGAGTGAAAAGTAGACTTGTGCTGCATTAAGCCCCCGGGATGGGTGCTGTCTGTCACTGTGATGTGGCTGCCCTGAGCATTGTCTTACGTCTCAGCTCAGTGTGCTGTGCGTCCTGTGCCCCTTCCTTACGTTGTCTCCTCTGGATTGCAGCGCACTGCAATCGAGGGAGATCGAGGGAGATTGAGGTGGCAGAACTTGGCTCCGTAATTAGTCCTTCACCTCTGCTGTGTTACAAAGTCATAGGCAGCTTTTCTCTGAGCCCCCTTTTCTGACAGGAAACTGTCACCAGTTACAGGAACTATCACCAGTGTTTTGCTTGTTGTGTTAGAGTTGAGTCTGATAGTCAGAGATCCATCACCAGAAGATCCATCCTCTATCTCCTTCCCTGCCTTCCCCCATCTTCAGAGAGCAGAGCACTTAGGGAACTGTGAGGGGAAAGCCTAAGTACAAACAGTGCAGCTTTGGCAAATAGTGGATCACTTACAAGATACATGTAAGGTTATTTCATCAATGTTGTTAGAAAGTGCAAGTGTTTTGGGTTAGGGTTAGTGTTTTGGGATGGTAGTGGTCACTGCTGTCCTTTCCAGAGAGGAAAGTATGCTGTCTGCAAAGTATAGCAGGTTAGCATTGTAAATTTTGGTTTAATAAACTAAATACTTAAAGAATTTAGATTATTGTTGAATAGCCTTGGGAACTTAAGATGGCCTTATCTTTTTATTGTCTTCTCACTGTTTAGAGAATCTCTATCATATTGAGAACCGTCATTTGGTGGGAGCTCTTGACTTTAAAAATGAGCTGGTTGATGTGGATTTGAAGAATAGAGAGACTCAGAATCAAAACACAGCTGGTTTTTCAAGATACAGCAGTTCATGAACAAAGGAAAAGCAGTTGTGTTGCAGTGCACAGAATAGTAAACAAAAAAAGGAAATGAATCACAGCTGAGGCCAACTGTGTATCCTGAAAGGGAATTGGTACCGTGTCCTGGGTTACTTTTTGCTTTATGAATTCTAGAATTCTAAATTTATGAATTTGATACCAACATATCTGTATGTTATTAGTTTATTAGTTTATTAGTTTAGTTTCAATTGCTTATTAGTTTCAATTGCTCACCTGCTCAGTATGCAAGAGGACCTGGGTTTAGTCTCCGGCAACACACACACAGTGTCTGTCTGTCTGTCTGTCTCTCTCTCTTTCTCCACTCCCTATAATGGCTGTGAAATTTCTCATTGTAGTAATATTTTATGCTTATCCATTTTGCATTTTATAGGTTATATCATATTTCTTTATAATACAATACTTTAGGGTTAATTGCTACATATGGTTTGGATTGTTCTAACCTCAGGTTTAATTTTTTTCATTATTTTGCATAGAAACCTCATAAGATAATCAAGATGTTCTAATTTCCTTTTTATTGTTGGCTTGAGATAGCAGTTAATTAATTTTGTCCTGAGCATGCTATTGGGATATATTTGACTTCTCTTATCTTGATGCCAAATCTTGTGTTTGGATTCACAGTTCCCGCAGAGAACGTGGCCACGATTGCTGATTGTGCCAGCGTGATTGAAGGAGTCAGTCGGAGCCGAAATGCCTTGCTGAATGGGGACACCAAGAATTACGACTGGGATTCCGGCTACACGTGTCACCAGCTAGGGAGCGGGGCAATTGTGGTCCAGCTGGCACAGCCATACATGATTGGCTCAATACGGTAGGATTTCTTCTCATTCATTAGTTTTACAGTGGAAACCACCATACAAGTGGTATGTTTGCAAAATGTTGACCTCTCAGTGAAGATGTAATCTCAACTGCTTAACTGTTTTTACTATAAATGTCAGGAACAGTTCTGAGTGGAAAGGAAGACAACTGTGGCAGTCAGGTGATTGTTGAGATTTTCTGGAGGGAAGATGCATCAGAATTAGGCTTGGGGGGTGGATAAGGGGCCTTTCCCAGGATGATGTCCTGCTTTTCAAATTTCAGTTTATCTTGGTTAGAGACCTAAGATCATGTCAAGAGAGGATTCGTAGGATGAAAAAATCATTTTCCACTTCAATAAATGGTTTTATGCATGGACAGATAATTGTGAACATGAAACCTAGTTAAAATCTTAGTGGCCCTTGTGTTTGTAAATTGTTACTCAGTTTTCTTTCCTTTTAAGAAAGAAACATTCTTGATTTACAGGATTCTGTAGTTTTTAAGCAGGAGACTGGTGGCAGCCCCCAAAGGGTGACCTTTAATTCAGTACGGCCACTTGGGTCTGCAGCAGGCTGCTGTTTCTCTCTTGGTTGTAAGGAGGCCTCTGAAGGAGGGCCTGTGTGAGAATCTGTCTCCCTGTTTGCCTGCCCTAGCTAGGGCTTTGGGTAGGTCCTGAGTATCCTCACCCGCTCAGCTTCACCAGGTTCCCTTTGTTGTTTCTTCAGCCGTCTGTACAAAGAGTGATTTAACATGAGAAGCGGCAAGCAGGAGGCTGATGGGCACAGGTTTGATGTTTAGGGAATGCAGCTTCCTGGTTCTCCAGACACCCTGAGAAACTGATGCTGGCTGCTTGGCTGCTTCAGATTGTCAATTTCTTCATTTAAATTGTCAACCCCCTCTAATCAGGGGCCACCTCACAGGCTGAGTACCATGGGCAACAAACCAGAGATAGCAAAGCTTTTCGTTCAGACTGCAGGCCAAGATAACTTGCTTTGTGCTTGGAGTGAGGGGGGAGACCAGCCACAAGCAGTCCAGACAGACTAGTGATTTGGGTAAAATGCTTCCCTCCTCTCAGCTGTGTGTGTGTTAACCACGCAAAGCCATCTTCTGTAAGCTGTTCTGGACTTCTGCTGTAGGTGATATAAAACTTGTTTGTATATTTCCTGTGATAATCTGTCCCTCTTCACTGTAAAATTGTGGAAAGCAGTGGTCTTCCTTCTGTCTTCTAGACCTCTGTATAGTCCCCACAATTTCTCAAAGATTGCCATCGTGTTTCCGAGATTACATCTGCAATTTCTTTCAGCAGGCTTGGGGTGTAAGTCATCTGAGCCAGGGGACGTGAAATCATTTAAATTGACTGGCCCTCTTCTTTTCACTTCACCTGTTTGGGACTTCAATTTTCTCCTTATTATGTTTGTTCTGCCATTTCTAATTTGTAGGCCGCTCTTCTTGCCAGTGAAGATTGAAGCAAATGGGCAGCCCAGTAGCTCTGCCCACTCTCTTTTAATGTTCCCGGTGTTCCACTTATTTACCTGGGTTTCCATGCCCCATGTGACAGTGCTCCCTGAGCACCTCAAACCCAGACATCTCAGATGGAGGTCCATCGCCCCCCCTTCCCATCAAGCTGTTCAGCGCACCCCTCCTCCATCCTGTGCCTCTTCCCGAATCCCTCCCTCTCCTTCTCTTCTCCTGCCTGCCAGTTCTGTCTCCCCAGCCCCCCACCATCGGGTACCCTTACCTAGTGCCTTTGTGGCTTCACTTGCCACCTGACCTTCCAACTTGGTCTCGCCCTCCGCCGTGCCCACACACCGGTCCGCACCAGTCCCCACAGGTCCAGGGTGGCCACACTTCTCCCTCGGACTCGTGGCTTTTTGCCTTCCAGGGGAAGTTGGCACTGAAGCGTTTGAGTGTGCTCTGACCACCTTCTGTGTGGCCTTGTTGCTGTGTCCACCAGGCTACCCCACCCTGCCTTTCAGGACTGCCTTTCCTGAGCCTGTCGCATGGGCACTGCCTCTCGTGGCTCCAGCTTTCAGGTCTTTGGTCATGCCCGTCTCACTGCGTGTACCTCTTACCACCTCTCCCTACCCCTCTTTACTGGCTTGCTCTTTTTTTTGTTCCTCAGAGTACTGGGGAATGAATCCATGCTCTCATGCTTGCCGTAAAGTTACATTCCCCAGCTCCCCACTTTGTTTTTTCCTAATTTTGGAACAGGCTCTGGATAGGTTGTCCAGACTAACCATAAATTTGTGGTCTTCCTGCCTCAGCCTCCCAAGTACCTGTGATTAGAGGTATGTGCTGCTTTACCATACCTGACTCTTGCTCCTTCTTGCTTCTAGACGCTGCCCGGCAGGACTGCTTCTCGAGTCTCTGTCATTTCCTGGCCTTATTGAGACGTCCCCCTTGAGCTGTCCCACGCAGTGTAATTCCTGTCACAGTGTTTGCAGTGCGGTTGTTTACTTGCTGACTCCTCCCAGCCATACCTGATATATAAAGCTGGTGACAGTCCAGAATAAGCTTCTTGACAAGCTGAATGTTCCGATGAGGTAGTCTGTCAGGGTGGAAGGGAAAATTATGATAGGTATCATAAGAAATCTACAACGTAGATCCTGCAGAGACCTCATGAGGTTGTTGCCAAGGGTGACAGCTCAGAGACATAGCATAAGGCCACGTTGACCCCTAGCTCTTCCAGATACCAGAGGTGTTAAATCAGAGTCCAAGAAAATGCATCTTGGGGCTTAAGGCAAGAGAAACCAGTGCCCATTTGGTGACTTTAAAAGGAGAGTGAAAATGGCCCCCCAAACAATTTTTCTTTTCCTAACTGGGGTGGGAGGAGATGGTGAGCGGGAACATAACCAAAAGCAGAATTGTATGTTTCAGCACAGTATGGAACTCTGATTCCTTCAGCCCAGCTATTATTTTTTCAGTGAGAAAATCCATGCAATTGAAGTTCCGCATAACTAGCTGAGCATTGAAAGAGACACGTTTCGGTAAAACTAACATTATGTTGTCAGGAACTGCATTTGCCTCTTCTGTGACATTATTAAGAGAAAAGGAGAGAGATTTCCTAGGCACCAGTGGCTGTGGAACAACGCTGGATATCTTGGCAGGCTGCAGTTACCAGAAGCTGATGTACCCAGATAGACATCCATTGATAGGAAACTAGATCCTTGGCACCTCTTCGTGGGAATGGGTAGTTGACCAATGACAGGTTGATTAGTCAGTGACATTTGACCCCTGGCTTCTGTTGCTTGTGATGACTGACTTGCTTTCCTAGTCACTGTGTCTGCAGCAGCCCAGTGATTGCAAATCAGCATTTACAGGGAACGCATCCTGGGGCCCGAGGCTGACGCTCTCCCCTGGAGGAGGGCGGGGAGCTGCAAAGCCTGGGGACTCGGGCTAGGTCTACCGGTCTGAGGCCTGACTTGAGGTCCTGCACCGGCTCCCTAGGCTGACAAAGTCAGGTTGAAGGCAAGGGCGAGAGCATGAATTTTCACGATGATTGCCTTGTTTATTCCTAAGAGCAAACATAGCTTTTGTGGATAAGATTTGTTTTGCTTGGCTATTTTCATTCACTGGCAACATTTCTTCCTTTCCTGAGAGTTTGCCCTGTGGCCGCATAAGGAACCAGAGCCACCTGGGCCTTCTAGTGGTTCATGGGAGCCAGGTCCTGCTCATGTGTCTAGTTCTAATTCCCTCTGGTGTTCTGGGGAGGGTCACTAGGTCTCTGACCATCCCTTTATCCCTTCATTTTCTTCCATTCATTCCATAAACATTCACTGAGAATCTTACTCTATACCAGGCACTGCCTGAGACATTGGCATTTGTAGCACTGAAAAATCAGAACGAGCATTGGTGTCCACAGTGCTGATGTGCTCTGGCTGGGGGCGGAAACAGTAAACACCTTTTATAGTGTGTCAGAAATTTGAAAGTGCAGGAGGGAAGATAAAAGGGAGCTGGTGCAGTGTTAGGTTGGGAGGTTGAGAGAGTTCCCTGAAAAGAGAAACATTTGAACAGAGCTGCAGGTGGGAAGAGAGGCCACCAGGTTCCCTAAGATAAGCACCCCACAGAGAGCAGTGACCCCAGGGCTGGAGCAGGAGCCGGAGGAGGGAGGGGGACAGCATGGGGGCAGACCAGGGACGATTGTGAGGGGTGGCAGCCCTGGGCAGTTTGTCTCTTGTGGTCAACACCTGTGCTTTCCAGCCTCCCAGCATTTCATTAGGAGCAGGAGAAGAGAGGAGCACAAGTGCCTCAGTGGCTTTCCTCATCACCGGGGCAGAACACACAGCACCAGCAGCTTAGAGCGCAGAGGTGGAAGGGCCTGAGCTGGAAGGAGAAAACTGCTCACCTGTGGTGGGCAGGAAGCAGAATACTAAGGGAGGAGTTGGGAGGGAGAGAACCCCAAGCCACACCCCCTGCAGCCCACTGCTCCCCTCCAGGCCCAGCTCCTAACAGCACCTTCAGCTCTGGCGTGGCCTTCAGTCACCTTTCAAAAGCCCTGCCTATGAGCGCGGCAGGGGGCTCTCAGACAGAGATTTGGAGGTGAACCCTGCCAGGAGGGGAGGGAAAAGGCAGGTGGAGCCCTTCATGCCTGGCACAGCACCTCCTCCGTCGTAGCATGTACTGGGAACTCTTCCCCCCACCTCCTAGATCGCTTCCCTCCCAAGGCAGGTACTGGGAAATAAAGGAGTTTGTCCTTGTTGTTGCTAGGTTTATAGGCACAGCCAAGTTTACTCATTTTATTTTAGACAGACAGAAAGAAATTATCTGGAATGTGCCCTAAAAATGGGTAATTGAGTAGTAATTGTATCATTTCCATACCATTTTAAAAACATTAAAATTTAAATAACAGGAACTCTTCAGAGGCTTGACCACATAAAAAGACCAAGGTAGAGTCATAATAACTAACCAAATCTGCCTAATATCTTAGTTTATAGTCCCTTTGTTACCTTGGTTTAAAACTTACTATCTTCCTATTTGCTAATCATGATGTCCTTTTAAGTGTTTCAGACTAGGGTG